TATTTATAGGTAAGAACTTCCTAATATCTATAGTATATATATATATATATATATATATATATATATATATAGAGAGAGAGAGAGAGAGAGAGAGAAAGAGAGAGAATATAGTGAGTAATTGTAAAAGAGTGTAGTAGTGTAGTAGTTTGCTGTAGAGAGAGTGTTTGCATTGAAGAGAGAATAGAGGGTTGTACTACTAGAGAAATAATAATAATATAATTCTTAGTGTCCTCCACCCTTCTAAACTCAACATATATTATTTAACAATATCGTAGGGTTTTTTTAGATATCAGTCCTTTAAATCATTAGTATTTTGTATTAGTCCCCTAAATCTCCATATTTTGATATTAGTCTCTCAAATTGTAATAATATGTTGATATTAGTCCCTCTGTTAGTTTTCCATCTAAAACCCTCAACTCTGGTTAAGTTTAGATTAACCATTAATAGTCAATTACCAAAATATCTATTGGATAGCGTGTGAGGAGTTGTTTTGTTTTCGGTGTTGGGACCACCAGTGGGAGCACGTGAATACAAATGAAATGATGCGGTTTGTGAAAACTATGTGGGTCCACCCGATTCCGCACAGCCTATAAATTCTCTAGGGTTTCGTGAGCACAATGGAAAAGGAGTTTTGACGGCAGGCGCAGGTGAAAAGGAGGCAGAGGACTGGGTTTTGAGAATTTGCGGCTATAGGGAATTTTGGCGGCTGATTTTGAGCGCAAGAAAAAAAACTGTAGCAAGTAGCAAAGAACAAAGATTTTGGCGGCTATTCATAGAGAAGAAGCAAAGTCTTTTTGTAGTTGTTCTTTGATTTGTGCATCCCTTTGAGAGAATATTTGTGTGAGGGATCTGAGAGTTTATGTGAGGGTTTAATTGTATGATTGTAAACCCTATTTGTATTCTCTTTCTCTAGTAGTAGATCTCCTCCCTCCTTGCCCCATGGACGTAGGCGATTTGTCGAACCACATAAAAATTAGTTGTCTTTGTTGTCTCATGATTTGTAATAGCTTGTAGGATCCCTCGACAAGTCAGTCCTAGAACTGATGAGAGGAAGAGTCGATATCTCACTTTGTTGAGATATTCGCTTCAGATTCTTATTTCCTTGGTGAGAGAATAATTCTTAATATGATCTAATCTCTTGTTGTACACCTTGCGCACCGGAGGTTCTGCCAAAATTTTCGCTGCGCACAACAAGTTGTATCAGAGCTCCGGGTTGGATTTGGAGCTTGTTCGAAGGATTCGCTGAAGGATTCCTATTTGAAGAATTAGATCGACAACATGGGAGAAACAAGCACATCGGGATCGTCTCTTTCGAAGGCGATACAGAGTCTGAGCATCAATAACACCAAGATTGATGTTCCAAAGTTCGACGGCAAGATTAATTTCAGATTGTGGAGGTGTTAAGTGATGGACGCCTTGGATGCACAGAATTTGAAGGAGACTCTTGAGTTACAAGAGAAACTCGTTGATATGGAGGACAAAGTTTGGAAGAAGATGAATAGTAGGGCTTATGGAGTTAATCGGTCATGCTTGATGCCGGATCTTATTTATGACGTAATGAATGAGACATCGGCGAAGAGAATGTGGGAAACACTCAATGAGAAGTATCTGACGAAGAGCATTGAGAATCGGCTTCACTTGAAGAAGATGTTTTACCAATTCAAGATGAAGAGGGGAGTTTCCATTCGGGAGCATGTTAACAACTTCACGAAGCTAATTTCAGATATGGCCAATGTAGATATCAATTTCAGATATGGCCAATGTAGATATCATGGTTGAGGATGAAGACAAGGCGATGCTACTATTGTGTTCATTGCTTGAGGATGATTTTGGTATGTTTGTTCTCACTATGATAAATAGAAGAACTACGGTTAGCTACAAGGAGGTGACCTCAACTTTAGTGAATTATGAGTTAAGGAAGAGTAATGACGAATCCTCCAAGAAGGCATCGGGAGATGCATTAGCAGTTCGAGGCCGTGGTCCAAACCATCGTCCAGGTGATCGCTCAAGGGCATCGGGAGATGCATTAGCAGTTCGAGGCCGTGGTCCAAACCATCGTCCAGGTGATCGCTCAAGATCGAAGTCAAGAGGTGGCCATAGAAATATTGGTAGGAATCAATGTCGCTTTTGCAAAGAAGAAGGACATTGGAAGAACGACTGCCCAAAGTTGAAAGATAAAGCTGGAAAGAATAAAGGAAAAGTTGTACAAGCTTCGGAAGTGAATGTTGTCAAGGCTAGTAACGATAATTCAGATACGGATTCTTCAGGCTATTCTTGCTCTGCATTACCGTCAGTTTGTTACGCTGAATCTACGGAGTGGATGATGGATTCTGATGCTATATACCATATTTATCCTAGGAGGGATTGGTTCTTCAGCTTTGAGGAGTTGGAAAAAGGGGATGTCGTGCTCATGGATAATGATCATGTATGCCCTATTGGTGGTATTGGTACAGTACGAATCCGGATTAGTGACGGGGTAACTCGGGAGCTGAAGGAAGTGAGATTCGTTCCTCAATTGACGAAGAATATCATTTCGCTTGGAACTTTGGAGGCAGCTGGCTATAAGGTGATCTTGGAGAATACGACTCTGAAGGTCACAAAGGGATCCATGGTTGTGATGCGAGGTGTCAGGGAAAACAACATTTACTACTTGAAAGGCAAGACAGTAACAGGGGGTCTGACAGCTTCGATTACCACAGAGGAAGATACTATCAGCTTATGGCATATAAGATTAGAACACACTGGTGATAAGTCCCTACAGGTATTGGCGAAGCAGGGGCTATTAAAGAGTACAAAGACATGCAAGATGGAGCTGTGTGAACATTGCATACTTGGGAAGAAGACAAGAGCGAAATTCGGCACCGCTATTCACAATACCCAAGGTATATTGAACTACATTCACACAGATGTTTGGGACCCTTCCAAGTACACATCACTTGGTGGGGCCAACTATTTTGTCACTTTCATTAATGATTATTCCAGGAGGAATTGGGTATACCCGATGAAGCATAAACATCGGGTCCTGGATATTTTTGTGAAGTGGAAAAAGAAAGTGGAGCTGCAGACAGGTAGAAAGGTGAAGACTCTACGTTCAGATAACGGTGGAGAGTATAAGACTGATCCGTTTCTGCAGTTTTACCGGGATCATGGCATTAGGCGACACTTCACAGTACGTGAGACACCGCAACAGAACTGGGTGGCTGAAAGGTTGAACCGTACCTTACTAGAGAAGGTGCGATGTATGATGACACAGAGTAGATTGTCAAGATCCTTTTGGGCCGAAGCGTTGGTTTATGCAAGTCACCTCGTGAATAGGTTGTCGTGCACTGCGATACAGGGGAAGACTCCGTTGGAGCGTTGGTCTGGTTCGATAGCTAGTGACTATGAGTCGCTTCGGAAATTTGGGTGTCCAGCTTATTACCATGTCAATGATGGTAAATTGAATCCGAGAGCGAGGAAAGCAGTCCTTATGGGATTTAGAGATGGAGTTAAAGGCTTCAAGTTATGGGATCCACAGGACAAGAAAATAGTTATTAGCAGGAATATCACATTAGATGAGGCGTACATGATGAAGCCTCAAGTTCCTCAGCAGGTGGAGGAAGATCAGATTCAGGAGATATCGCAACAGGTGGAGGATGATGTGACTCCACTCACTCCAGAGAGCATTGTATCCATCGAGGCTCCTACAGAGGTGATACTAGAAGGAGATAGGATGACAGTCGGGCATTTAGAGGATACAGTAGATATTGGGACTCAGGAACATGGTCATGTTCAGGAGTCCATTGTAGCTAATAGACCAAGAAGAAACATTCGTCGGCCAGCTAGATATGACGATGTCATGGTTGCATATGCTTTATCAGCAGAAGTCGTTGATGATTTGGTTCCTTCTACATTCAAGGAAGCAGAGTCAAGCTCTGATTCAAATAGGTGGAGGGAAGCTATGGAGGAAGAGATGCAGTCTCTTCATAAGAACGACACTTGGGAACTTGCAAAACTACCGAAGGGTAAGAAGGCTATTGGATACAAGTGGGTATATGCAAAGAAAGAGGGATCTTTTATTAGGGAAATTAGATTCAAAGCCAGATTGGTTGCCAAGGGATATGCACAGCTAGAGGGCGTTGATTACAACAAGGTATTTTCTCCTGTTGTGAAGCATTCGTCGATTCGTATTTTATTAGCATTGGTGGCACAGCTGGATTTGGTAACCAGCATTTCATTTCAAATAGTGTATTTGACTCAATTGTATTGTTTGGATCCATAAGAATTTGAATACTGGATATTGGCCCAAATCCATTAACATTTTAAACCTATACAAGGCCCATAATTCTAAATCCCGATGGATAGCCTGTCATTTGCAATTCCCATTTCTTCTCTCTCCCTCCCGTTCTCGCGATCTCCCCCCGCCTCCCTCCCACCCTCGCGATCTATATCCCTCCCCACTTCTGCTCTCAACCAGCGATGGTGACGGCGACCACGACGACGACGAGATCCAGTTTCACCTGCAAGCACTAATTTCACCTCCGGCGACGACGGCGATCATCAAAAATGGTGAGAACTTCTCGATCCTCTATCTCTAGTTCTACTGAAACCTTAAATTCTAGATTCAAACTCTATTCTCTTGATTGATTTCTCTACCGAGCTCCCTCCCAGCCGGCGAAAAACCCAGCCCGCCATTTCTCCGCTTTCCAAGCCCTAGCTTTCTTCCTCTCGATCCACTGCCAAAACCCTAACCCTAGCTACCGCCGGCGATCTCCCACCAAACCCTAGCACCTCAATCATATTATTGGCGGTCGATCTCTGGATGGGCAGCAGAGAGAGCCCGGAGGAGCCAAAGAAAGGTCGATCGAAGACGCCCAAAAAGGCCAAGGAGAGCGTGCTAAAGCAAAGTAATTTCCTCCTCAGCTTTCATTTTTCAACTTGTCTCTCTTTAATCAATCTGTGACTTGTAGTGATTTGAGGGTGAACCTGTTTGTCTTGTAGAATCCCCAGTGGAGTTCTTCGTCGAGAACAAAAACATTGCTGGATTCGATAATGTGAAATCTTCTCTCTAGTGTTATTGTCCATTTTGAAACTGGTAGTAGAAGTTTTGTTGAATGTTTGAATGTTGCTCAGTGCAAATTGAGCTAATATTGATGACCAATGTTCTTTGAATATCTATTATCTGTAGAAATGGACATTAGACATGCTTGAGTTTCTTGAAGTGCATTCGGAGGGTGGAAAATGAGTGTTTTGTTGAGGCTGATAGCTTAGAAGCTTCTTATTAAGCTGATATTTCCCATTTATTTTGTCACGGGCGGCCAGCATTTTGAGCAACTATTGTAGAAATATTATCAAAGTGAAGTCTAGCGCGTGCTTCTACTGAAATGTTGATGTTCATTGGATTTTGGAAGATTTGTTGATTGAAAATTGATTTTTGTTATATGTAGCCTGGAAAATCTCTGTACACAACAGTTCGAGAGCTTGTTGAAAATTCTCTGGATTCAACGGAGTCTATTTCCGAACTCCCAATCATTGAAATAACAATGCAAGACCTAATTATTTTGACCATTAGTTCTGCTTGGATCATAAGCATTGTGATTGTTTGTGTGCATTATGAGGTACAAAAAATTTAGCGTCATTGGTTATTTGTACAGCTCACTTGGAATGATGCGGTCATTGATAGGGATGATGACATATATCTTGAACTTAATATAAAAATTTCAATCTCCTTCTTTAACGAGGTATGGCATTTTATGAGTGAGGTTTTGATGGTTGTGATCTCTGCCTTCTTTAAGAATATCAATCTCCTTCTTTAACGAGGTATGTCATTTATTCAAGCGAAGTTTTTCAGCCCTATATATTTGATCGGAACTTGTCGATCTTATGATTCTCGATGACTGATTAGATCAAGACCTAGAAAAATCACTCAATGCTTTTAAGTTCAGCGGGAAATGTTGATCGGATAGCCGAATTAGTGATCTTTGTGAATCAAAAGAGTAGTTTTATTTGGGGGAAATATTATGCTTTTGTGCTCTTATCTAATAAAGGGTTATAAATTTTCAAATTCTTATTGGATTTTATAAATTATAGTATCTACTATGTTTTTCCCCTTTTGAAAGGTCCAATGGCAAGGAGAAACTTTTCCTTTAATTCGATTGACTAGACTATTGTGATTGTTAATGCACCACAACTTGTTGGAAAAGTGAAACCTGTAACAGGAGTACTATAATGCCCATGTATCGTGCACCATAAGAGGCTATTGTTTCATGGATATTCATTGTTGGTCTGAGACAAGTATGTGTGGTCTCGATTTTTTTCCCTACTTTAGTTTTCAATTCAAAATCAGTTTTCTCTTTTACTGTCAGTTTGAAAAGTAAGTTTTTTGTTAGTCTATCTTAGTCACAGATTCTAATTATGATATAAAATTTGTATTTGTCTACTGTGAGTTTTTCCCATATTGTTATTAGTGACTCATTTGTGTTTTCCCTCCTCCAGCATCACTTTCTTGGTTATAAGTAGCAAAGTTGCTGTCTTAGGGAAAAACTTCCTTAATTGGATATATGGCGTGTTTTGGATGCTGCGGAGAAGAAGACTTTCACCAAGCTACTGATACGGGAAGACCTTTCACTGCACACCATGCGACAGGTTGGTTCTTGCTTTTCTTAAGTAGATTTAACTTTCATACTATTGGCTGTCACGTTGGCCATTAGAAAATAGGGTTAGTCGGATCAAACAGAATTTTGGTGCTAAATTACAGAAACATGCTTAAGATGAACTTCTTCAACAATTCCAGCAATCAACCAAGTGGCTCTATGGTAAAGATAGACATTAGTTATCATTGAGTGGATATGTTCTCTTATATCAAAAGGTTAATCTTTCAGTTTGTATTGTAATGTTCCTGAAATCAGTCAGCTCTTTCTTCTGAGATTGTCGAACATTCCATTTTCTTCTTACTTTCAGTAATTTATTGGTCGAGGTAGTATTTGGACTTGTTGGTGGCATGGTTTTATATACGGAACAGCTCTGCTGAAAACATCCCTCCCTTTTGGTCTTCTTGTTATTGTTTCAGGTGATTCAAGAACTCGCAAAACAAGACTTTCTGAACCGAGGGGACGAAACTACAAAAGAAATACAAAGTGAAAGTGTACAAGCATTAGAAAAAATCTCTTATTTGAATTAGATGTAAAAGTCTTAAAGAAACTAGTGCGAGAGAAAACTTAAACATGACACTATATAAACTTAAACATGACACTATGTAACTGCAAAATATTAACTTTTGTTGGTTTGTATTTGTTGGATATTTTGGATCTCTAGCATTAGAAAAAATCTCTTATTTGAATTAGATGTAAAAGTCTTAAAGAAACTAGTGCGAGAGAAAACTTAAACATGACACTATATAAACTTAAACATGACACTATGTAACTGCAAAATATTAACTTTTGTTGGTTTGTATTTGTTGGATATTTTGGATCTCTACTTTGCTAAATTGTTATATGCAAATTTGAAGTTTCTACTTTATTTATTGTTTTGGTTAGTGGTGGATGAGTTTACAAAGTTTTATTGATGAATGATTTCGGTTATTTTATGGTGATTATTAGGTCAACTATTGACATTAAAATGAAAGCACATAATTGGTCACTAATAGAGATATATCAACTAATACCCTACCCTCTTTCCTTCTTACAGCAAAGGCTTCATGATTTCCAGCAAAAAGTTCATGGGCTTAATTATCTCCTTCCATAACATTTCCAGCAACAGGGCATATAATATGTTCCCATTTTCATAAAATTTAAGGACAACACGAATATTAAGTGATTTTCAAAACAAAATAAAAGTATGATTATAACATAAAAGCAGTTAAAATTTCATCCAGAACACTTACGCAATACTCCTTAGTGCTGTTGTCCGGATATGTATACTCTCCGGTGATCTTATCTACCGATGACGAGTGGATACCCAAATATAGTTTCAGCATTGTAGGTGTGCCACCATCCTCAATGATTTGACATTTCTGCAATTCACCAAAAATATGTTGTATAAACGATCAAAACATTTAAGAATTATATAATCTGATTTGTACTAGTGTGGATCCGTTAGAATTGCATTATATGACTTCCTTCATTGTTTCTTATTAATGAAACACGACAAAATCATTCACCTTTGACTGAAAGAAAAACCTGCTGTGACGAGAGAATTCTTCTCGACCCTAAACAAGTATGAACTATTCTTAAGGTCCAACTAAACCAAAGATCAAGGCGCTCATGAGAATAATGGTTTGCTTGCTCTTGCCTTTGCAACAGCCCAGTGATGCACCGACTTGGAATCCCAGGGAAGGGGGCTGAAGAGCCTCCTTGGAACCCCAGAAGGAACGTTGTTAGGGGTCGCATACGATATCGCGGTCCATGCAACCACCATCAAAGGAACTCCATAGTCGGCAATGAAACCTCTGAACCCCCCCTGCAAACAGTAATCACAGCTCTTACCATCATTCTTGGGGAGTTAATTAATCAATGGCACGGTAAATAACCAGAATATCACAGACCTGTGCCATATCTCCACGACCTTGCCTTTCTACTCTTTAATGAAGTGTACAGAAGGCCACCAGAAAATATGAGGCCCAGCAATTCATTCGTATAAAGCCACTGGAACTGGTTTACCATTAGACTCAAATCTTCGCCTTTGGGTACATTAAACTCACTCACCAGACCCTATAAAAAAATGAAAATATTAGCACTAGTTTTGCTCGCTAAGATTACTTTCCAGACTCGAAATAGAGAGATAAAAAATCACCTTGATAGCTTCTTGAAAGAGGAGAACTGTTATCAACATCCCAAAGAGTTCTCCTGCAACCCTGGTGAATCTACTAATTATAGCTGAAGCATTAAAAGCTGTCAGAAGAAACAGCATGATAGCAGTCCAGATGCAAACCCTACGAAAAGTTTTGCAAATCAAAAATCATATTAACTAAGAAACATGACTAACTGATCCAAACTCTTTTCATCTTCACAACTACAAAACCATCCAGCCCAAGCCAAAAATAGGCGTGCACCCAAGTCTTCTAGGTCTTTGGCAAAGTTGTACAAGTATGTGTACATTAACACAGTAGGTTCTGCAACTCCAAGAATTAACATGGGCAACTTTACACTTTGTTCCAAATAGAGAATTTACATCAGCAACTTCACACTTTGTTCCAAATTTTCATCAGCTTAATATATGATACAGCAAGGCTAAGAAGCTTACATGCGGAGGGCATTTCTTGGTGAGATGGTCCAGCACTGTTTGCTTGATCACCTCCAAAAGTGACTTTCGCTGAACACGCGAAAACAATTTCAATTATATAAAGATAAATACTTGTTTCACCAAAAGTATCAAATAGACATTAACAGCCATTGTATCGTAAGGTATATTTACTTTCATTGTGCACAATAGATCACCCCACTGAATGTTAAGATGATCGGGGTTTAACAAACATAAAGCCATAATAAAGGAAAATCCTAAAAGTATTACATTTAACAAAGTAAAGCTCCACTGCCGCCGCCTCCGACGAGGCATCCAGCTCCATGTCCTCCAGCTACAAACCAAACATTCACATGGGCATTTCATCAAACAGGTTGCAAGCACGAAGTAAAACCAGGCTAAACAAGAAACCGATCGACCAAACAAACAAGCGAAAATCCCAAAGGGGCATTTCGTCAAACACGTAACGAGCACAAAAACTAAATCAAAGCTTAAACATACTTGTAGTGTCTTGTATTCCCATGTTTCCAGGTATATATGCCTGGATGATTAAACGTATTTGATTTTCTTTTAGATGAATAAAATCTTAAACTTAGTGAAAAATATATACAATTAGTAAAAAGAAACGGAACACACTGACCTTCAAGTAGATATCAAGTGTCAACGGTCTTAGTGCTCCTTCTGTAAACGGAGAACATTAGATATCGTGAACTCTTAAAAAATCATTATATATCATCAAAATCAAGTTAAAACCAACCTGTGTCTTTACTTAGTTGCTCTCCAAAAGCAATAACAGGTAAAGCAGAAGCAAAAAAGATGTACATAGTAGGTGCCAAGACCCTGAAAAAAATGATGAGCAAAACAATTAACAGAATTGCATAAGCCTTTAAATTATTTTTTTTTTCAAATACAAGTACCTGAATCCTGAATGAAACCCAGCCATTCAATCTTGACGGTAACATGGTGCTCTACCTTTGACATCACTGATGATTCCCCTAAATGGATGCCTGATATGATCCATTCTCGAGTAAAATCCTAAGAAAAACCAGTTATTTAACGATGTTAAAATTTATGGAGAAGGAATTATTTTGGTGGGAGCACCAAAATTCTTAATATCCCACGTTTCAGCAACTTCCATTTAAAACATATTTTTGGTGGAGGCACGCGGTGGAGGAGGCGGAGGAGCGATGCGGTGGAATCGATGGAGGCGGTGGAGGAGGCGGCGGAGGATCGAGCGCGCCGGCAAATATGAGGCGGCGGAGGATCTCGAGGGCCGGCAAAGATGAGGCGGCGGAGAAGGTCAGGCGTTGGCCGGCGAAGATGAGGCGGAGGCGGAGGCGAATTTTTTGCCGGAGGGGAATTTGAGGGTGTGGTGTTTTTTGGCGAAGGGGAATTTGAGCGTGCGGTGCTTGGGGATGAAATTTTTGGCGGAGGGGAATTTGAGAGGGTGCGGTGTTTGGGGATGAAATTTTTGGCGCCGCTGGCTGAAAATTTGGGGAGAACGCGTGCGCGGGTCAGAAAAACGATGGCAAACTTTTTTTTTGTGTTTGGGGATGAAATTTTTGGCGCCGCTGGCTGAAAATTTGGGGAGAACGCGTGCGCGGGTCAGAAAAACGATGGCTAAATTTTTTTTTTTAAACCCTAGCATAACTCCCAAACGGTTTCAACTGTTTGGACGGATATGTTCTAAACGGTTTAACCCGTTTGGAAGCTCCGTTTGGGATTATTCAATAGCCCAAACGGTTTAAACCGTTTGGAATAATTAGTCCAAACGGTTTAAACAGTTTAGGCTATTTTGACTTGCCCAAACGGTTTCAATAACCGTTTGGACTGCCCTATTTTGTACTAGTGAAGTAGCAAAGTTGCTGTCTTAGGGAAAAACTTCCTTAATTGGATGTATGGCGTGTTTTGGATGCTGCGGAGAAGAAGACTTTCACCAAGCTACTGATACGGGAAGACCTTTCACTGCACACCATGCGACAGGTTGGTTCTCGCTTTTCTTTAAGTGGATTTAACTTTTTTCATACTATTGGCTGTCACGTTGGCCATTAGAAAATAGGGTTAGTCCGATCAAACAGAATTTTGGTGCTAAATTACAGAAACATGCTTAAGATGAACTTCTTCAACAATTCCAGCAATCAACCAAGCGGCTCTATGGTAAAGATGGACATTAGTTTTCATTGAGTGGATATGTTCTCTTATATCAAAAGGTTAATCTTTCGGTTTGTATTGTAATGTTCCTGAAATCAGTCAGCTCTTTCTTCTGAGATTGTCGAACATTCCATTTTCTTCTTACTTTCGGTAATTTTTTGGTCGAGGTAGTATTTGGACTTGTTGGTGGCATGGTTTTATATACGGAACAGCTCTGCTGAAAACATCCCTCCCTTTTGGTCTTCTTGTTATTGTTTCAGGTGATTCAAGAACTCGCAAAACAAGACTTTCTGAACCGAGGGGACGAAACTACAAAAGAAATACAAATTGAAAGTGTACAAGCATTAGAAAGAATCTCTCATTTGAATTAGATGTAAAAGTCTTAAAGAAACTAGTGCGAGAGAAAACTTAAACATGACACTGTGTAACTGCAAATTATTAACTTTTGTTGGTTTGTATTTGTTGGATATTTTGGATCTCTAGTTTGTTGAATTGTTATATGCAAATTTGAAGTTTCTACTTTATTTCATGTTTTGGTTAGTGGTGGATGAGTTTACAAAGTTTTATTGATGAATGATTTCGGTTATTTTATAGTGATTATTAGGTCAACTATTGATATTACTGCATTTGAGATTTTCAGGTATTTTATCTATATGTCAAGTTAGTTGGATATGTGATATACTATTTGAGGAATTTATTTTCACCAATTTTAATGCAAAACTTATGTAATTTGAGTATCTTATTTCTAAATTATCTTCGAGCTACAATTTTAGTTCAGAAATTAGAATTCTACTAGTTAGCAAACAACTCAATTCAAATTTTTAAAATTAAAATTCTAAAGTTTGCCAAACATGAATTTCAAATTGAATTCTGGAATTCAAATTTGGATGTTTCACAAACGAAGGAATTGAATTTGAAATTCCATATTTCAATTCTGGAATTTGAAATCAAATCATTGAATCCAAACGCAACCTTATCAACTTTTGCATGTGCTTACATATTTAATCAGGCAGTGGACTGGGATTCCAGGTGTCATTAACTTGAATCCGGATTCACGATAGCTAGAATGGAAGAGCTCAGTTCTCCTTTTGTCATTCCAGGTGCTGAACTGTATCAAGTATCAAGTAACTAGA